AGGGTGGGTGATGGGTATTGAGGAGGGCACCTTTTGGGATGAGCACTGGGTGTTGTATGGAAACCAATTTGACAATAAATTTCATATATTGAAAAAAAAAAAAACTTCTGGCTAAAGAAGACACTTTTCAATAAAAACGGCTAAATGGAAGGCTTGACTGACCACTTGCTCGTTTGGCCTCAGGGAAGAAGCCCAGGGAGCACGGAGACCAGTCTGCAAAGACAAAGCCCTAAGCCAACCTGGCCAAGCTACCTTGGAAGTCCTGGGGGGAAAGGTGTCCGGTCCGGTCCGGTCCGACCTGCAGGGAGGGTGGGAGCCTGAGAGAGGCTTTCTGCCTGTGTCGCTGCCGGGTTTTAGAAATCAGTTTTTGCAGATTATGTTGTACTGGACCAGCCACACCCATCTGTTCACATATGTCTGTGGCTGCTTTCAAGGGACACCTGCTAGGTGAGTAGCTGGAACAGAGACTGCCTGGCCTAGAAGCCCAAGATACCGGCCGTGTGGCCCTTTATGGAAAACGTTTACCACTCGTGCTCTAGCAGAAAAAGATGTGGACAAAATACGAAGACCAGATTTCTCGCCTTGGCCACGCCGCTAACCATGTGGCAGGGCTAACCTTTGGTTAATGCACCCAGTAACACACAGGGTGTCGGGCAGGCGGGGTTTTGTGTGTGTGAACTGCTTGAATCCTCTCAAGTCCTAGAAGTAGGTGCATTGTAACATGTCCCCATTTTGTAGATGAAGCAGCAGAAACACCAAGAGGGTAAATAATTTGTCCAAGGTCCCCAAACTGGTGAGGCGGGAGCAGGATGGCATTCTGTGCGAAAGAGTATGGTTGTGCTTTGAAAACCACCTACCTCAGGAAAAGGAATTTTCTCCACCTCAACAAGGGAAACCATGGTCCCCCTAGGAGAGCCGTTCCTGTCCTCATAGTCACCGTGTGACAGCTCCTGCCTGGGGTCACGTGGCACACAAGCCTGCCTTCCCTTACCTCCCATTGCTGCCCAAGAGAAAGGACTCCCTTCCCACCCCCCACCCCCAACAAATGGGGCCATAAATACTCGAAACCCCTCTCTGTGGCTCGGCTGTGATTTCCTCTCTGGCTGACTGACTCGTCCCTGAATAGAAGCGCAGCCAAGGCCAAGAACATGTGATGTGCCCTGGCTCAGTGCCCCTGTGGCCAGGGGGAGGGGGGGAGGTGCTGAGAGGTGCCACCAGTGACTGGAGTGACATCAGCACAAACAAACCATGTGATGCCTCTCTTAAAGCCTTCCAGGGCTGCCCATAAAAGGAAGTCTTTCTTACTCTGTAGGACTCAAGACCTTGTTTACACTATCTCCACAAGAAAACTTTCCAGTAGACTCTAGAAGGATTTATGAGCTGATAAAACTCTTCTTTAAAAAGGCACATGTTTTCCCCCTCTCTCTGCCCCTCCCCTGCTTGCTCGCTCTCTCAAAAATAAATAAACATTAAAAAAATTTTTTTAAAGGCACGTTTTAGAACTATCCGCTCTGGAGCAGTGCTTTACCCAAGGCCCCCTCGTGGGGGGTGAGGGGATGTGCAGACCCTCCACCTGGGGCAGGAACAGGACCAAAGGGGGCTGCTGCCCTGCTGTGAAGCCACTTCACAGAGGCAAGTGTGACCCGAGGAAGTGGTGTGAGGGAAGAGGGACAACTGTCCCGACCCCTCCCATCCTGCACATAGGGGGCCTCAGGATCGCCACCTTCCTCTAGGCCCTGCTGCATGCACGCAGGTGGTGATCACAAGCCCAGGTGTGAGAGGCAGCCCAGCCTCAGCCCCGTGACAACCCAACCGATGCAACAAAGACCAGATTCTAGAAAGGCCCTGCAGGGCTTGGCACACCCCTCCTCCACCTCCTCCTGACAGCCTAGAACAGCCAGGATTGTCTTATGAGCCGCTTCTCAGCGGCGCCTGCCAGTGGGACGGCAGGCCTGCCCCTCGCCTTGTCCCATATCACTCTGGCTTTGGACTGAGACCAGACTCAGGGCCCAGGTACCACGGGACGGCCTGTAGTTGCGAGGCCAAGCACGCACCAATGGCCCTTCCTGACT